AAAACCGACAAAAACACTAGCCAAATCAAACAACAACAACAACAACAGAAAACATTTTCAAATTTTCTTTTCTATTCTGAAATGATCTAAAACTGTCAAAAATGTTTTTCTTTCTTTTTTTTTGGCCAAATAGATATTTTGCACTCAAAACCTTGAACTAGTTTCTTGCGAAAAAAACAACAACAATAACGCCAAAGACAAGAAATTGAAAACACAAATAAATTGAAGAAAAACAAAAATAAAGAATGACATGTTTGTTAATAGAAATGTGTTTCATTTCGAAAGAAATTTCACAACCACCATTAAAATTTTGAAAAAAATTCAATATTTAAAAAAATGTAATTTATTCAATGTTAAAGTAACTTGTGTTCGAGTATTTTTAATGACAGATTTCTCTAAGACCACTACGCCAATTTGGTACATACATATGTTTCTGATAAAAAAAAAATTGACCACCAATTTAGATTATTATCGCAATTAATTCTATTTCTTTATTGTTTTCATTATTTACACATGTTGCAACAAAAAAAGAATTACAACTAAAAATGTTGTAATTGAAAAAAATTAAGAGTAGTACCCACCAAATACAATGATAATTAATTAATGCACGCCTTTTGTGTGTAAATCTTGCCCGACTTTGGTTGGTGTGTAAGATTGAGTGTGTGTGTATGTGTGAGCGTATTTCGTATCTTATCTTTTGGCCAATTACATTATTTTGTTACAATGCATTTGTTTACACTTTGCCATCTAATTGCCGGCCACACGCCTCAGAGTACCCACTATCGCGCTTGACTTCGCTGCAATTCGATTTGAATTCAATATATGTATATTTGTTAAATATGTAAACATAAGTATGGGTATATGTATGTGTGTATGTTAGAGGTTTTCTTTTTCTTTTGGAAAATTGCCCAGTTTTTTTTTTATTTTCTTGAAGAATGTTTTTCTTAATGACCACTGCTTCGACTGGCATGAGGTGAGTCGTATTTTCTTTTTGTCGAGGTGTTTGTGCGTGTGACGTACGTGCGTTGTACTTATCATTAATAAGCTTTATTACGTCAAGTAATAGTGACGGTTTTGAGGCCAATATTTGTGACATAAAATTTTGTCGAAGAATTCAAAAAAATCGATTACTGGCTTAACAACATAGTGAACGAAACTATTTAATTTAAATGATTACTAGATTTGAAGAAATTAAAAAAAGATATTAGAGAGTGTCATCATTGAAATATTTTTTATGTAATTTGACAATTTTAATTCAACTTTGTAGTTTATTATATTTTAATTTGTTTTTCACCAATTTCTTAAATGATTGAATAAACCCCAAAACATTCGTATTTTTTGCATGTTTCCAAAAAACGAAAATTCAAAATTATTCCAAAATTGTATAATATTTTTATTATTAAAAAACATGGAAGAGCATACTAAATACCCTTTCGCCCTTCTCTCCATGCATTAATTCTTCCATTGATACAAAACTTTGACCAGTTTCCTTTTTTGATCCAATGACCAACTCTATTGAAAGTGATATTTATCGGCTCCGATTTGGATATAGCTTCCATATACATTTTCAAATGATTTTAGGTTTCTAAATGCCGAATTGGTAATATCTGACCATATAAAATAGATTTTGGCACATGTGACCGTCTAGAAATAGTGAGCTGCCACTGGAATAATTTTAACAGCTGTCGGGCGAGTGGCCTAGAAATGACAGCAGTCTGAAGTTGGTTGCAGTTTTTTCATCTCACCCTGTACATATATTATATTAATTATACCATGAATATATTAATATATCAATATAATATTATTAATATATTATACTATTCTACATAAAGTGTTTCCTCATAAATAACAAATTATGTGAAGCGAGTTAAAGTGTGTTATAAAAATGCGTAAAATAAATGTAGAAAAGTATCGTTACATATGATTCTGACATTGTGTGTATCCTAGCCTTAAATCATTGGATATGATTCCTATTTTGCCATAAGTCTCAAATTAACATAAACCCCAAGGGAAGGGCAAGTTTCAACCTCCACCTCATATTGAACCATACATAAAAAATACATAAATTATGTTATATTCTATTCCCCCACCTAATTCTACTTGACATCATTACTTCATAAATGCACTTTCCACATTTGAGAAAGTTTTTCGCCGCAGACCTTTCTAATTGGCCGCATAACTTTATGACTTTTGCGAAACCCGTTAAGTCATACATATTAAACAAATAGGTTGGCTGATGGGACGGACTTGTGTGCACGCCTCGGGGTTAGCATTGCATGTTTGGACGTTCCATGCAGGAAATGTCTGCGGTCTAAAATTAGAAATTGGAAATTCTTAGATAGCAAAGCTGGCATTCTTATGTCTGATAAGAAGCATTTCTATGTTTAATTTTTTGTTCTTTTACTTTGTTTTGTTTGCATACCATTTTGTGATAATTATGGTTCGTTGTGCGAATGTGTGCTAATAAACATTAATATGGCATAATTTTCGAAATTCCACGATGCGAAATAAAAATGCCATTAAAGAACGAGGGGGGTTACCATAAACTCAAATAGCACAAGTCATTCGAAATAAAACGGAATGGCATCGTTAAGTCGATTAAATTAGATATATTTCGATTAAACAATGAAGTGAAAGGAATTTTAAGACATTTATTTATATGAAATTATTAAAAAAATCATTTTTAAAAAATTTTCTATTTTTCTCATATATTAGTGTTGACTCGTTCATCACAGTTCGACATGATTTATATTTGCTTTGCGTTTACCCACTTTTAATTTAATTATATTTATTTTTAATATATTTTCCCATAATTTTAATTCATAAATTCTCCTACACAGATGTATACACATATGTGTATGTATGTATGTGTTTTTTTAATTTAAACACATCAATGCTTTTTAAGAGATTTTTTCACACCCCATTAAAATGCATTTCCTCTGTGAATTTCACCCGAGAACTGTTTCCCCACGAAGCATGAATTAAAATTATTACGAAAGTCTGTATTTTTTTTTTAATTGTAATGAAATAGTTTATGGCTTTTTTATAAAGTTCATAACTGTATTAGATGAACCATTAAAACGCATCACTGGGAAACTAATATCGCTTGACTAATGGGGGCACGATCGTTGTTGAACATTACACCACCTAATACAGGCAGTGGTTTCGTGTTTCGTATTTTTATTTAGTTTTTTTTTTCGTTCACCGCAGGCCATAAAAATTATGAACTCTAAATGATTATTTGGTATAGCTTACACATAAAGTTATTAGAGCTGGGTTAATGTCTTGTTGTGTATTTCATGATAGCTGGTAATGATTTAAGTGTGTGGTTTTGAAAATTGAAGATTCGCAACAATAAAAAAAGTAAATAAATAATCAATGTCTGTCATTTTTTTTAAATTGTCGTTTTCATGTGGCCCCAGGTTACGTTGTAACATACTTTCAATAACATTTCAGTTGCTGGATTTTGGCGATCTCGGCCTTGTCAGTTCACTTTTCATTTTTAAGAAATATCTCCCTTATTTAACACATACTCTATTTTTACATATTGCAATCAAACGAAAACTGAAGAAAATCGGAAAGCATTTCTGCTCAGTTTAAAAATTGGGTGGACGCCTAAAAGTATGCTATAAAAATGCTGAATATAAATGTAAATGTAAAAATGTATGGGTAAACTAGCCTTTATGTAATTCGAAAGAAAAATCCCAATTCCAGGCGTTTTTATGCGAAGGTAGTCAATATCGATGCACTCCTTGTGGTGCCTCCCCCACAAAAGACAATATTCTGAAAGAAAATACTTTACCTTGTGGAAAGAGAGAAGATCATCCGATTTTGTTCAAATTTTTTAAATCTTAATATTTTTATACCCTTCACCATTATATGGAGGGTATATTAGCTTTGTCATTCCGTTTGTAACTCCTCGAAATATTTATGATAAACTCTACTAAGTATATATATTCTGGATCAACGTAGAATTCTAAGACGATTTAGCGATACCCGATGCGTTTGTCTGTCTCTTTTAATCACGTTATCTTTCGAACGAATTGAGATAGAATGCTAAAATTTTGCGCACATTTGTATTTTGCCAGTAGGCAGGTTAAGTTCGTGAATAGACCAGGCCGGTCCACGTTTTCGTATAGCCCCCATATAACGGTGCATCCCGATATTCGGTATTTTGAGGAGTTTAGCGAATTGTTTTGAATTTCGTATTCGAAGTTTTTAATGGGCCTATGGCTAAACATTTCGTATGCATGTCCACGTCTTCGTATAGCCCCTATATGACGGTACCTCCCTTTATGTTGTATTTTGATGATGTTAGCGACATTATTCACAGGAATTGTTTCAAACTTCGTATTTGAAGATCTTAATGGGTATTACAACCAATTTCGTATACAGTTCCACGTCTTCGTATAGCCTCCGTATAAAGGTATACATGTTTCTAGATTCTTCCAAATGGTGGAAGGTACTAAAAGTTCGGCAAGGCCGAACTTAGTTTTTCAAATGTTATCACCTGATTTTGTTCAAATTTTGCAAATCTTAAAATTTTTATCAGCGCGAATTGACCATATCGGCCAACCCCACCAACTAAGTTGCCCACAAAGGGTCGACATTTTGAATAATTATAGCTCTAATACAGGTTAGATGAAGAAACTGCAACCACTTTCAGACTGCTGTCATTTCTGAGCCACTCGTCCGACAGCTTTTCAAGTTATTCGAGTGACAGCTCATTATATTGTTTACAAGCATACAAAATCATTTTGGTGAGAATTTTCCAGAAAAAAGTTATTCGTGATGGCATTTAAGCGTGATAGTGTATTTTCTTTATATTTGGCTGGAAAACCACAAGTGGCTATCGTTAGAGCACTCCAGCACTCAAATGTGAATAAATCGATTGTGTCTCGTACCATCTGACAACCTGACTTAACATAATACTAATGCAACTACTTTTTATTCCAATACATTTTATTAATTGAAATATTTTCGATTTTTTTTCTTTGCAGAGGAACAAGAACGTGTTCAAAAGAAAACATTCACTAATTGGATTAATTCATACCTCTCGAAGGTGAGTAAATCATTTTTGTAAACATTTGGGAGCCGTCATATTTTTGCTACTAAATGTAGAGAAATATAGAGAAATGTAATGTATTTTTTATTTTTATTTTTTGAATCCAAAGTCCTATTTTTCTGATTTTATCCGCTGTTGGTATTTAAGGAGGAACCCTGTTGATATTGGTGATTATTGGTTCAAACTTAGACATAATTCCCCTATGTATATCTAAGAAATCATCAGGTCAAATATTATGATTTTACTACACCTCTAGAGAAGCTATGAGTTTCACATAAACAAAATCGATATTTCAAATTGTTCTAATGGAAAAATCCTTTTCCCAGTTTTATTTTCATTTCATTTAAATAATTCCTGGCACAATTACCTTTCTTTTGTCTGAATAATTGGCCATAACCTCTTTAATGTTTGCTTTTCATGGTTCATTTTTCTTGCCCAGCCAGCCATATGTTTTCGGTTTGATAATTAAAATTTCTTCACATCATCGACTTGGATGTTGGGGCTTTTCACTTTTGCTCACAAGTTACTCATCCTCATTTTTGATCTAAAAATAGTGGAAATTTCTGGCATTTGCAATTTGATGTAAACATTTTGTTAATAATAAATCTCTTTTTTTTGGGGAACCCAAAAACAACAAAAATTGTTTGCTAATTTTTGTTTCGCTTTTCCTGTGAAGTGAAATATTATTCACATTGTTTACATAGGAAAACAATGCCGATTGGGAGAAAGCGAGAGGCAGGGAGTGAGAGAGGGCCAAGAAATCAGACGCCAATAAAAGTGATGGATATACTCAGTGCGGAATATGACGTAGTTGTTGTGATTCAGATGAGTTATTTCATCCTTAACATAATATAGATTGTGATATTGATTGGAATACAAAATAGTTTTTGCTCATTAAAAAAAAAAAAAACGCACACACCAAATCATTTCCCTTGTGGTTATTACTGGGTGATGATAAGTAATTCGTTCTAACCAAATTATCTCATTACAAAGTTCATTTTCCATATCGTAATCGGGAGAAAAATAAGGGACTTAATCAATTTCGACACCTCAACACACATGTGTGTTGCAATCCGGCGAAAATAGATAGATATTTTATGACTACAAAAATAGAAACAAATTCGTCTATTATTATTATTTTTGTTATTTATGAAATAAACATTTAAGCATTTCTATTTCAAAATACTTGCGTCAGAGCAAAACAAACAGCCCACCCCGTGAGGGGAGAGGAAAAATGTCAAGAATTTGTCTCAACAGATGCGAATTTATCTTTTGGGAAATATTTATTTTATTTCATGTTTATCTTTAGAAAATGGTGTGATAAGTCAATGACATAACAGACGACGGGATGATTAATGTTCCGATTTGGTGATTTTCCTGTTTAAATGGTATATAATTATTATGATTTGTTTTACGTCAGGCAATTATTTTTTTCCGCAAGCAAAACAAGGTGAAATGTTTTTCCTTTAATTATGGGAAATACATTGTTGTCATAATTATTTTTGGGAAATGTTATTTTAATATTAAGGAGTGTTAATTTTTTTAAATAGAATAATTTCTTTTGAACTTTTAAAGCAATCAAATTAGATTTCTTTGACAAAATCATTTTTGAGCCATACCCGAATAAGTTTTTCCATTTAGTTAGAAAGGCAATGGTTTAAAAACTGGCCTGAATCCTGGTTTAAAAAAAGGTCACTTAAAACATTGTTATGTTGGATTTATGTTTAGAATATAACAAGTAAAAGTGCAGCTAAGTTGGGCCAGGCCGAACTTTTAATACCCTCCACCATACGATAGGAACTTGAACAATTGCAACAAAATTACTTAATCTATCACTTAAATGAAAACTTATTGTCATAGGCTGTAGTACCCATTACGAACTTCAAATGCGAAATTTGAAATAATTCCTGTAAATAATGTCGCTAAAATTATGAAAATACCGAGTATCGGTACCCCTAGATCGACTCCAAATGTCCTAAAACGGGTTTGGTCCGAAGAGACCTTATGTCTTAACCCTCTATGAAGCATTTCTAAGATGTAGTAACTTCGGCCAAGCTTAACCTTTAATACCCTCCACCATTTGGAAGTATCTTGATAATTCCGATGAAAAACGCTGCGAAAATTATTCAAACATCGAAAGTAGGGTTGGTGGACTATACGTGGACGTCTATAGCCAAATATTTGCCGGTGAGACGATGACTATTACGAACTCATAATACCACCTTTGTGACAATCCTGTTTAAAATCGAAAAAAATGACGAATATTGGAAAATACCATTATTTGGGGGATATAAAGGACCCATGCAGGTAATTTTCTGTGATGGGAATTACCGAATATCGCTCGATATGGTTATATAGCGGTTATACGACAATGTGGGAATATTTAGAAAATATTTCATCTGAGAATACGTTATATATTTTTAACACCAAATACTAACTTAATAATACCTCCATAATATACAATCCATACTATCGTGGAGAGTATAAAAAAGTAGAGAATATCTGAGCCGTTCTAAAAAGTGTACCATGGTTTTTCTACGAATGTCCAGAAGTTAGAAACGTGAAATTGACATCATGGTTAAAGCTATTTGAAAAATGTCGAGAAAAGAAATGTCCTTGGAAATTGGTACAAAGGTACCAATCAAAGTAAAAAAGGGCCCATCGCTGTGTAAGTACTCGGTGCCAATTGAGGAATATTTTGACAATAGGCCAAGTACTTTTTGTTGCCAACGAAACGATAAAATTTAAAATAAAAAATGTCGTATATTTTTAATATCTCGAAATTTTCGTTCGTTTAAAATACTTTCACTCTTCAGCGATTTAAATATAACATATAAATATATATGTACCTACACATACATATATATATTTTTTATAAATAATGTCTTGTTTATCTAAATTATTTTGTAATTTATTTAAATGAAATGGTCTGTCATTCGTATATCATTGTCGTGACATTGATGTTTGTCGGTCGGCTAGACAAATGTCATTCAAAAAATGCGGATGCCAAGAAATGAATTCTTTGCCATGGCATTCCTTTGCTCAACAGTGATTTTGGTAGCATAGCAGAGGTCTGCGTGAGAATTATGACAATTCTCTTTCATTTATCAATCTTTAAAATATCGCCAATCTATACTAAATGCAAGTCATATCAAAAGGATTTTTATATTCTTATCACATGATGGTCTGCAAATAAAAAACGCCAACAGTTTTTGGTGTTAATTGCATTCGGTAAATAACTGAAATATTTTCTGCAATCTTTTGTGAATTTATAAACAAAACAAGTGTTTACCAAAAACAAATTCACTTGCCGTTGTTATCAATTGTTAACACCAATTTTAGGTGTATGTGCGTGTGTTCGACAAATGAAAGTACAATGTTTATAAAGATAACATAGGTATTTAGTATGTCAACGAAATTATGTCACTTTGTTTTGCCATAGACAGGTGTACGACTATATTTTTCGCGAAAAAATGCACAAATGTTACCTTTGGTTTTTTTACCGGGGATATTTTCCTTATATTTACACTCTATGTAGTGCCTGAAGGTATCCAAAACAATTTCACACAAAAGTGCTACACTTCTTTGATGTTGTAAACCTCATGTAAAATTCCGTGTGGATTGATTTATAATTGTTAACCGTAGAGCCACTGCAAGATCAAGGAAGTTTTAATTTTTGGCCCATTTGAACCTCTAAATATACGTATTGAAAAACAATAGACTTTAATTCGAACCCTAACTCTATCCCCATGAAAAATTTCTTGAGAATCGGACGATAATTGAAACATGAATATAATACTCCCAAAACATAGTGTTGTAAGATGAAACAATATTACGAAAATTTCAATATTGTGAGTCAAATATGAAAAAAAATCTCATGCGATAAAAAATATGACAAAAAATCTAAAAAAATATTCACCTTTTTATTGACATATATTCACGCGATTTTCTTAGGTTTATCCTTTTCTAGCAAGAGGTCATTTCGTATGTGTGAGAATTGCCAAACCCCGTCTAGCCGTTCTTGAGTTATAAGCGGTCTAACTAACATCCCCTTAATTGATATATTTTGCTATATATTCGATATCTTGATATAAAATTCTTTATGGAAATTTTATAATCTAAATAATATTAAATTTCCACCAAACCGCGAATATTTTGAATCCTGGGAAACTACAAATTAATGAAAATGTCACTTCTGACTGTTACATTGATGCTCATATCCAAGGTATCGCATATATAGCAAAATATATCAATGAAGGGGGTGTTAGTTAGACCGCTTATAACTCAAGAACGGCTAGACGGGTTTTGGCAATTCTCACAAGTTCGAAATGGCCAAAAATATTCGCGGTTTGGTGACAATTGCATATTATTTACATAAAAGTTGTGCCCTATTTTACCCGCTAAACATTGTCCGATGTCCAAAGAAAATTGTAGACTTCTGACCAGCCCTATACTCTAGCCCTATGCTAAATTCCGCGTCGATTGTGCTATAATTGCGACCTGTAGATCAAATGCAAAATCAGGATTTTTTTCTGTTTTTGGTCCATTTCAACCCCCAAATATTGTACGAACACCTACAAAAAAAAAAAAAAAGAAAAAAAAATAATCTTCTATTCTGATCCTAACCCCACCTACATTTTAAATTTCGTGAGAATCGGCCATAATTGCGACCTGTAGAGTGATTAGAAATTAACATGGTCAGACAGACTGACGGACGGACATACACTGCTAGATCGACTCAGCTCGGCGAGATAGGAAGATCCATATATAGTTTCCTATGTCGGAGACCAATATTTCGAGGTGTTACATAATTTTTGGACAAATCAAACTTATTATAACCCCCACACATAGTGTTGTAGGGTATGAATATAGTAAATCGATTCGAGAAATTTACAGTCAATGCCAGCCCTCCCAAAGTATTAATTTCAAATCATCCTGGGTTTTTATACCGCCTCACACTATTCAGTTTTAAATGAGATCATACATTTTCTAAAGTT